GGTGGCAACAGAACTGCTTACAACTTTGTGACAGGAGATGGGAAGGAAAATGAGCAGTAAGGTTGGAAAATGGTAGAAGCTGATGGATTCTGTTTTGAAGTATGAGACATGGTCATCTGAGATTGAATAGTGTGTGGGCAAAGGAGGAGGAAGAGTACTAGGTAGTATAGAAAAGTTTTCAAATAGTCACAGCTGAGAAAGAGAATGAGTAAATTGTAGATGAAAGGCAGTGTCAAAGGTCCAGTTAAATTTGATTCATTCCAGATGTTGTAAACACCTATCATAGGACAGTAGAAAAGGGTGAAAACACAAGCACATGTCTACCTATCCAGAGATTTTATTCATATTTCAACTGTCCAGGGAGGTCTCTTCTTTGGGGAATGGTTTCCACAGAATTGTTATTACAGAGCACTTAAGCTAAACAAGATTTACAATCTTCAAGGAGTATATAGCTCAGAGTGAAAAACTCATACTAACATTTCACATATCCAGTACTAGGACTTAGGCTTTTAAGTTTTAGATGAAGAAAAATATTTCTAATTCAGGGAGTGTCCATTCACATTCTTCTCTAAATCACGTTTCCTAAGTTATTACCTCCATATAAATACAGCAACTGAATAATACCCAATAATCAAGATCTTAACTTTTCTTTTTAAGGCAATGCTATTCACAATATGATTACAGAGAGAATTTATATAAAATTAGCACAAAATATGTAAAGAAACACACATAGAAATAAAAGAGTTGCTATGTAGAAGATTTTTAGGAGAGAAATCCCAGTGATTCTCATTCAAGTGTCAGTTTCTCAAATAATCTTCAAAACTTAATATTAAAACACATACAAAAGCAAATTTCTGTAGTTATTATTTTGTGACATCTCTTTTAAGAATAGTTTTAAATGTAGTTTTGTAATTATGTATTAATACTTGAAATTATGATGTGATGAACTTTCTTTTTAGTATGATTCTAATTTATGAATTCTAGATTTTACTTTCCTAAGTTAGCAAGAAAGAAGGATTCCAAATAAGAAAAATAATTGTTTGAATAATATTTGGTGATGTTGCTAATTTTTAAAAATTATAAACATGTAAGGGATAATTTTATACTTTTCTTATTTGAATCAGGATAATTATCAAATTTATTAAACATTAATATAAATGGTAGAGATACTAAAATTGTTGTATGTTAAAATAAATATTCAGGACACCTAGAATTTGCCTTTCCATATGATTCTGAAAATATATCTTAATCTGTTTTCTTTATTTGTAATATATTAATTATGTGATTTTTACATTTTTTCTAACATAAAATATATTAGAAATGTTATTTTAGGTTTTGCTTCCTTGATTACATTAACAAAATACCAATTTTAATTAATTTCTTAGAACATACTAATAATTTCACTAATAAATTTTTGATGATAATTTACCTTCTTGTGATGTATATGTTTATCACCAAGAATTAGAAACATGACGAGACCAGGAATTATTTGAAGGTTGTTTAGTTGCCGTTAAATAAAGGTGTCTTTGACTTTGGAATAACAGATATTATATCATCATTATTCTCAGAATTCTCTCTAGTTGTATTATAAATTTAACTTCTTAAGGTGTTTCCATGGTGTTTTATGGTGTGCTCATTTCTTTTTTAAAATTTTGATTTCTATGTTTTATATGTTTAGAGGGTCTAAATTCAATTTTGTTGCATGGATATATTGCACAGCAGTGAAGTCTGTACTTTTAGTGTATTCGTCACCCAAATAATGAACATAGCGGCCATTAAGTAATTTCTTATTCCTCACCCTCCTGCTATCCTGCCACCTTTCTGAGTCTCTAATGTCTATTACTCAGAGCCCTCTTTCCATATGTACACATTATTTAGCTCCCACTTATAAGTAACAATATGCAGGATTTTACTTTCTGAATCTGAATTATTTCACCCAAAATAATGGCCTTCAGTTTTATGCATGTTGCTTCTGAAGGCATGATTTTACTCTTTTTTTTTTTTTAGCTGAGTAGTATTTATGGCATATATACACCACATATTCTTTATCCAATCATCTGTTGATGGACAATTAGTTTGATTCCACAATTTTGCTATTGTGAGTCGTGAGGCTATAAACATATGAGTCCGGGTATCATTTTGATATAATAATTGATTTCCCTTGGGTAGATACACAGTAGTAGAATTGATGGACGAAATGGTAGTTCTGTTATTAGTTATTTGAGACGTGGCCATTCTGTTTTCCATAGACGTTGTACTAATTTACATTCCTACAAAAAGCGTATAAGCATTCTTCTTTCTCCTCACTGTCACCATAATTTATTGCTTTTTGATTGTTTGACAGTAGCCATTCTGTCTAATGTAAGATAATATCTCATTTTTTAAAATTCACATTTATCTGATGATTAGTGATATTGAGATACTTTTGTGTTTCTTGGCTATTTTTATGTCTCATTTTGCAAAATGTCTCTTCATGTACTGTGCCCACTTCTTCATGGGGTTACTTAATTTTTTCTTGTTGACTTGTTTCGGTTCTTTGTAGATTCCGGATATTAGTCCATTTTCAGATTCATAGTTTGCAAACATTTGCTCCCATCTGAGGTTGTCAGTTTACTCTGTTTATTATTTCTTTTGCTGTGCAGAAGGTTTTTAGTTTAATTCAGATCCATTTGTCGGTATTTGTTTTTATTGCATTTCCTTTAGAAGTCTTAGTTGTACATTCTTTGCCTAGGCCAATGTGCAGAAGGGTTTGCCCTAGGTTTCTTCCATGATTTTTAGAGTTTCAAGTTGTACATTAAATTCTTTAATCCATTTGGAATTAATTTTTGTATATGGTAAGAGATAGGAGTTCGGTTTCATTCTAATGCATGTGGCTATCCAAGTTTCTTATTACCATTTATTGAATAGGGCGTTTTTTTCCCCAGTGTATATTTTTGACTACTTTGTTGAAGGTCAGTGGTTGTAGGTATGTGACTTTATATCTGGATTCTCTATTCTGTTCCATTTTTCTATGTGTCTATTTTCATACCAGTACCGTGTTGCTTTGGTTACTGTAGGCTGGTAGTTTAATTTGAAGTCAGGTAACGTGATGCCCTTGCTTAGAATTTCTTTAGCTACTTGGGATCTTTTGGGTTTCATGTGAATTTTAGAATAGTTTTTTCTAATTAAGTGAAAAGAGATGTTGGTACTTTCATAGGAATTGGGTTGGATGTTTAGGTGGTGTTGAGCACTATTGCCATTTTAATAACATTGATTCTTCCATTCCTTGATCATGGGATGTTTTCCTCTTTGTTTCTCTCCTCTGAAATTTCTTTAATCAGTGTTTGTAGCTTTCCCTGTAGAGATCTTTCATTCCCAAGGTTAATTGTATTCTTAGGTATTTAATTTGTTTCATGGCTATTGGAAATGAGATGATTGATTTCTGATTTAGTTCTCAGGTTGGCCACTATTGGTGTGTAGAAATGCTACCAATTTTTGTATATCAATTTTATATTCTGAAATTTTACTAAATCCATTTATATAATTTAGGAATTTTTTAGAGGGGTCTTTAGAATTTTCTAGGTATAAGATCATATCATCAGCAAACAGAGTTAATTTGACTTCCTCATTTCCCATATGGATGCCTTTTATTCCTTTCGCTTGCCTGATTGCTCTTACTAGGACTTCCATCAATATGTTGAGTCACACAGAGAAACTGGGCATTGTTATCCTGTTCTAGTTCTTACAAGACAACACTTTCAACTTTCCCATTTAGTATAATGTTGGCTGTAGGTTTGTGATAGGTGGCTTTTATTTTGAGGTGTATTCCTTCCATGACTAGTGTTTTGACTATTTTCATTATGAAATAATACTGAATTTTATCACTTTTTTTGTACCTATTGAAACAATTATCTAAATTTAAAAATACTCTATATGCTGAATCACATTTATTGATTTACGTTATGTTGAACCACCTTTGCATCTGTGGAATAAAACCCACTTCTTTGTGATGTTTTATCATTTTGATATGCTGTTGGATTCGATCTGCTAGTATTTTTTTTAGGATTTTGCATTTATTCTCAACAGGGATATTGACCACTAGTTTATTTGTTTTGTTGTCCATGACCGGCTTCATAGAAAGAGTTAGAGAAGATTTTCTCCACTTTGATATTTTTGAAACTGTTTCAGTGGATTGGTACTGATTCTTCTTCATATGTCTGGTAGAAGTTGGCCATTAATCCTTCCGGTACTGGGCATTTTTTTTTTTTTTTTAACTGGGAGAGATTTTGTGATTTATTAAATCTCACTGCTTGTTATTGGTGTTATTGATCTGTTCAGGATTTCTAATCCTTCCTTATTCAGTCTTTAGAGGTTGTATATTTCTAATGAATTTATTCATTTTCTCTAGATTTTCTGATTTTTTTTTTCTGTGGCATCAATTGTAATGTTTCTATTTTTATTTCTACTTGTGTTTATTAGAACATTTTTTCTTCCACTCCCAGTTACTCTTGCTAGTGGTCTATTAACTAGTGGTCTATTAATTCTGTTTAATTCTGTTTATAAGGTTTCTTTGTTCATTTTTTTCTCCCAGCAATCTGTCTAGTAGAGTCACTGGGTGTGTGGAGGTTGCTTGCCCTCATTATATTGCTGTTTATCTTTCTACTTAGCTCTAGTAGTATTTCCTTTATGAATCTGGGTGCTGAGGTTTTGAGTGCATATATATTTGGAATTGCTATATCTTCTTGATTCTTTTATCATTATGCAATGAACTTCAAACTGTCCTTTTTTCTGTTGTTGGTTTAAAGTCTTTTTATATATAAATATAACTATACTAAATGCTTTTTATTTCTGCTTGTATGAAATACCTGTTTCCATACCTTTACCATGAGTTTGTATAAGATTCTCTCAGTTAGGTGGGTTTCTTGTAAGCAGCATATGGTTGGTTTCTGTTTTCTAAATTTGGTCCACAAATCTATATCTTTTAAGTGGAACATTTAATCTATTCATGTTAAAAGTTAATATTGACATGAGAGATTTTATTCTTGTCATTATGTTAGTTGTTACCTAGCTAGTTGGTATTATCAACTGTGTAATTATTTAATAAGACCTGTGAGTTTTGTACTTTTGCATGTCTTTATGATGGTGAGTAATGACTGTGTATTTCCATGTTCAGAACTCCCTGGATCATTTCTTTGGGGTGAATTCCTAAAGTGAATTTCTAGTGGTGATGAACTCTCTTAGTGTTAGCTTGTCTTGGAAAGATTTTATGTATTCTTCATTTATGAAGCTTAGTTTACCAAAGTACAAAATATATGTCTAAAAAGTTTGTTTTTCAAGAAATATGAGAGAATTTTTGTTTTAGAACTCTGAAAATAGGACACCAATCTCTTCTGACTTGAAAAGTTTCTGCTGAGAAGTCCACTGTTAGTCTTATGAGATTGCCTTTTTTTTTTTCCTTCTTTTTTTGAGATGGAGTCTCGGTCTGTCACCCAGGCTGGAGTGCAGGGGCCCAATCTCTGCTCACTGCAAGCTCTGCCACCTCCCGGGTTCTCACTGTTCTCCTGCCTCAGCCTCCCAAGTAGCTGGGACCACAGGCGTCCGCCACCACGCCCAGCTAATTTTTTTTTTGTATTTTTAGTAGAGACGGGGTTTCTCTGTGTTAGCCAGGATGGGCTCGGTCTCCTGACCTCCTGATCAGCCCACCTCGGCCTCCCAAAGTACTGGGATTACAGGCGTGAGCCACTGCGCCCAGCCATGAGATTGCCTTTATAGTTGATTAGATGGTTTTCTCTTGCTGATTTTGTAACTTTTTCCGGTTCACATTTACTTTAGCTAGCCTGATTACTATATGTTTGTAGAAGTTCATCTTGCAATGCATCTTCCTGGCGTTATCTGAGCTTCTGTATACAGATGTCTTTATCTCCAGCAAGAGGAGATAAATTTTCCTCAGATAGGTTTTCCAAACTTTTAACTTTATCTTCTCCCTCAGGAATACCTATAACTCTTAAGTTTTCTCATTTTCCAGAATGCCGTTTTTCTCAAAAGCTTTGCTCATTCAAAAAATTATTTGTTAAGCAACAGCGACACAAGATGGCAGCCACCACGGGCTCGGGAGTAAAAGTCCCTCGCAATTTCCGACTGTTGGAAGAACTCAAAGAAGGCCAAAAAGGAGTAGGAGATGGCACAGTTAGCTGGGGTCTGGAAGATGAGGAAGATATGACACTTACAAGATGGACAGGGATGATAGTTGGGCCTCCAAGAACAATTTATGAAAACCGAATATACAGCCTTAAAATAGAATGTGGACCTAAATACCCAAAAGCACCCCCCTTTGTAAGATTTGTAACAAAAATTAATATGAATGGAGTAAATAGTTCTAATGGAGTGGTGGACCCAAGAACCGTATCAGTGCTAGCAAAATGGCAGAATTCATATAGCATCAAAGTTGTCCTGCGAGAGCTTTGGGGCCTACTGATGTCTAAAGAAAGTATGAAACTCCCTCAGCCGCCCAAAGGACAGTGTTACAGCAATTAATCCAAAAGAAAAACTACAGGCCCTTCCCCTTTCCCCTCATTCAATTTAAGCAGTCTTCATTTTCCACAGTAGTAAATTTTCTAGATAAGTCTTGTAGACCTCAAAGTACTGGAAAGAAAGCTCCCATTCAAAGGAAATTTATCTTAAGATACTATAAATGATACTAATTTTTTTGTCCATTTGAAATATATAAGTTGTGCTAAAGCAAATCATCCTGTCAACATAGTTGAACTTCTGGGATCAAGAAAGTCTATTTAAATTGACTCGCATCATAACCAGTGGGGCACATCTAACTTAACTGTGAAAAGACACATCACACAATCACCTTGCTGCTGATTACCCGGTCTGGGGTCTCTGCCTTCTCCCCTTACCCTCCTGCCTCCCAACCTCCCTGCAACAACAACCCTCTAGCCTGGGGGGCTTGTTAGAGTAGATGTGAAGGTTTCAGGTCGCAACCTGTGGGACTACTGCTAGGTGTGTGGGGTGCTTCACCTGCAGGCCTGGTTTCCTTAAGTCTTAAATGATGCCCCTTACAAGCCGTCATCCTATCCGCACGCTCCTCCACTCCCACCCTTGGCCAAAGCATAGATTGTAACCCCTCCACTCCCATCTGAGATTGGCCTTCGGTGAGAAATTCAGGGCTTTCCCCATATCTTCTCTCCCCCACCTTTATCGAAGGGTGCTGCTTTTTCTCCCTCCTCCTCAAGTTCCTTTTTGCACCATCACCACTTAACACCTTCCATGAAACTTCCTTGCTTTGGTCAGAAGTCATCAGGTAAGGTTGGAAAGCGTCTCTGACCTCCCTTGTTTAGTTTTGGAACCGTACTCACTCACTGTCCACCAGCCAGGGAAATGAATATTGGGTCCTCAACCCTGCCACCCTCTGCTGTCATCAACTGATGCATTGTTTTTAGTTCAGGTTTTGATAAGGTGAAAAGAATAGTCACCAGGGTTACTCAGACCTGCCAGCTCTTGGAGTCCTTGGTGGTTGAACTTGGAGAAAGACCACATGAAGACACTTGTAAGCACACATGATTCCTCTGAATTATTTTACTTTCCTGTAATTGTTTTGCTTTTAAAAATTGAAGAAGTTTTAAAGAGGGCTTTCATTTGGTCATCCTTGCAATCCATTGGAGTCTAGTTTGGAATCTGACAACTGGAACAAAAAGAACCTTGAATCTGGTGCATGCCTTGGTTTTGGTGCTGCTGCTGCTTCCCAAGATCCTTAGCAGGGATTAAGAAGGAACCCGGTGTGCACAGCAGATCCCCGAAATTGGTGGACTTGACCTCCTGGCAAATTGCTGCGTCTTTTCACTTGCTCTTCAGGACCACTGAATACTGAAAGGTGAATGCATACCGAAATAACAGCAATTCATTGTGTACTAAAGTTTTTTTTTTTCTTGTTAATTTAGTATTTGTGTAAAACCACCTTTTGAAGCAGCAACTATCAAGTCTGAAAAGCAATTGATGTTTCCATTGATCTTTTTCTGGGGGGAAAACCTTAGTTCTAAGGTTTTAACATCCTGTAAGTGAAGTTTAACATAACAGTATTCCATAAGCAGCCTTTTTATTAAAATCAGACCATTGCCTGATTTTAATATAATAAAAAAAGGTCTGATTTAAAATCAGACCATTGCCTGATTTTAATATAATTTTTAAAAAGTGTGAGTTTAAAAAAAATATTTGTTCTTTATCTTTGTCTGACAGGGTTAATTTGAAAGACCTATCTTCAAGCTCTGAGACCAAGTTATTCTGCTTGATATAATCTGTAACTAAGTCTTTCAACCTTATTTTGTAATTCTTCAATGAATTTTTCATTTTCATAAGTTCTATTTGCTTTTAAAAATATTTTAGTACATTTTTCATTCATGTTTGGAGTGTTTTTATTCTAATTTGCTTGTGTTGCTTTTCAACTTTCTCTTGGACTCTATTGAGTTACTTTAAAATAAATATTTTAAATTCTTTGTCTGGTATTTCAAATATTTTATTTTGGTTAGGACTCATTGCTGAAGAGTTAGTATGATCGTTTGGGAGTGTTGTAATACTCTGTTTTATCATACTTCCAGGAATGTTTCTGTCATTTCTTCTTATCCAGATGAACTATCTCTTCCTATTAATTTTGAGTGTAGTTTTCCATAGACAGGATTATTTTCCCTTGGAGGATGTACTATGATGTATGTTGTATAGGGTTATTTGGTTTAGGTTCTGGGTTCTTTCAGGGCTAAAGACTGTGTTCGTCGTTTGGTTAGAGATAACTTTTACATGATGGCTTTCTTAATTACTGGTTATAGTCGTTATGTACTGAGTGTATGACAAGACTTACTGCTTCCTGAAGGGTTGGTATGGAGGACTTCACAGAAAACTAACCTTGTTCTCCAGCATCATACCCTAGTGTCAGCAGAATTTGCAATGGGGTGTGCAGTTCAACATCCAGGACAGTAAGTGGCACGGACAGGTAAGAGCCAGCTGCAGCAGAATTAGATGAGTATATGCTTGTCCTTGTTTATGGGAGAAACACTCTGTTGCCCCAAAGAATGGACTGATCTGTGAAATGTACAGTGGTCTGAGGAGGTGGGGTCAAACTGGGTGGATCTGAACCACTAAGCTCACCCTTAGATGCTACAAGGATAAGCACAAGCACCAGCCCTGACAGGGGTGTCAGGGAAAGACCCTGGTGAGATGCTCCTAGGTGTCTGCAGTGTGGGAGGTAGTTGCCCCTACTGCACAGCCTGGGCAGGCAAGAACCTGATCCACTTACCTGTCACACCCCAGTCCGAGTGCCCAGTACACACAGGTTAGACAGGCATCACTTTCTTTCTCCAAGCTGCAATGTAGATGATAGCTATGAACGGCGTTTGCCTGCAGTTCCCTGTCAAAATATCTTCTATGTGGAACGGCCTCGCTCAGCCCAAAACACACAGCTTTTCAGTTCTCCTGCTCCCTCCTACAGGAACACTGCTGTTCTGTGTAAAGAGGAGGAGGGGCCTTGTCTTTCTTGCAGGCCTGGCTCCATTGGGCACATCACCACTGGAGATGCAGCCAACCCTAACACCCCTAGAATGTCTGTCCTCTACTGTGTCTGCACCAGTCTCCTTTGCAAGTGACCACAGCTGTGTCCACAGAATTGAGTGCAGGGGAGATGTGCCCCTCTCTACATCTGTGCTCAAGCACTGGGGTCACCTGGCTCCTGGGATGGATCTATACGCTTCCCTTGCAGAGCCAAGCACAGTGCCTGTGTGTCTGCTGGAAGTGGTGTAGTCACTTTCATCCCACAAGAAGCTGGTTACTCTTGCACACAGGAAAGTGAATGCTACAGTCTTCTTTGTCACAAGGGCCGTCCCTTTGTTGCACTGCACTCTCCCTTCCTTCCCATTAGGAATACTACTCCCTGATGGGTAAAGTACTGGGAATGCTGTAGCTCCCATGGGTCCAGCCAGCTATGGGTGACTGCCACATCCAAGCAGGTGCCAGGGAATGTCTGTACAGCTCTGGTGTTATGAGGGTAGAGGGCTGAGGTTCCTGGGTAAGAAACAGTCCCCGTGTCAGTGCACTGCAGGCATGAAACCTACCACTGTAACTCAGGTCTGAGGGAAATCAAATGACCCTGTTCAAGCTAGTAGTTGGGGTAATGCCCTCAGGAAGTATCCAGATCTCCACTCATACCGGTGTCTGGGTTCACAAGGGCAGAGGAGCTCTCTGACAGCTTGGATCCACACGGTGAGCTGCAGGGAGCCCAAAAGACTCCTACCTACACTGTCTATGACGTCCCACAGGATCCTAGTCAACCTTTGCAGACTCTTGCTTCTGTCTTTTTCTGTGCTTTGGCTTCTCTCCATGATTTCTCTACCACGTTCCTGCACCCTCTCTTTGACATTTTTCAAGTTATGATCATTTTCCTGTAACTTTGGTTGTTCTTTCTGAGGAGAACTGATGTCCAAACTCCTTCGTCACTCATCTTGTTTTTAAAAAGCCCCAATTCTGGGCTATGTACCCAATTTTAAAATTGTAGTATTAGTGTTTTTTAATATGAGAGAGTAATTTCATGTTTTGAATAAAAGAAATAATATTAAATTTCATAAATATCAGTGATTAAAACTAGATTCATTGTAAACAAGTTGAATTTACAGATCAATTTTTAGAACACATACATTTCAATACCGTAACATTTCTTGTAGAGTTCAATTTCAATTTCAACAGCATATAAAACACAGTATGTAGCATTCTTTACAGGGAAAATGTTTATCTGATGCGCCTCTGTATGTGTGACCCAATATAAACCTCATTTTGTTGTGGCACATGTAAAATTTACTTTGGCAATGATTAATCATATATTCTCATGAAATTAGTTTACCTTTTTTCAGAAAGAGAATGTGAACTTCCTAAAATAGATGTACACTTAGTTCCTGATCCAAAGAAAGATGACTATAAAGTTGGAGAGGTGTTGAAATTCTCCTGCAAACTAGGATTTACAAGAGTTGGACCTAATTCAGTTCAGTGCTACTACTTTGGATTGTCCCCTGACCTCCCAATATGTAAAGGTGAATGTTTATCTTACAATTGCTGAAATAAGAATTAAAACTTTAATACCAATTTTTTTTTCTTAATTTTGTTTGGGCTTCCATCGTCTGTAATCTAATGAATTAAGTCAACTTAACCATTATTTACATAGTATTTCTACTATAGAGCAAGTACAGTCGTGTGGTCCACCTCCTGAGCTCCTCAATGGGAATGTTAAGGTAAAAACAAAAGAAGAATATAGACACAGTGAAGTGGTGGAATATTATTGCAATCCTAAGTTTCTAATGAAGGGACCTAATAAAATTCAATGTGTTGATGGAGCGTGGACAACTTTGCCAGTGTGTATCGGTAATGTATAAAATATTAATATTTAAACTTGTCAAAACTTTTGTATTTTGGATCAAAAGCACATAAATCATGTTTTCACAATAAACTTTTTTGTAAAATTTACATAGAGGAGGAGAGTACCTGTGGAGATATACCTGAACTTGAACATGGCTATTCCGAGATTTCTTCCCCTCCTTATTACTATGGAGATTCGGTGGAGTTCAGTTGCTCAGAATCATTTACAATGATTGGGCACAGATCAATTACGTGTATTCATGGAGTATGGACCCAACTTCCTCAGTGTGTGGGTGAGAATACACCTCTTAAATCAACATTTAATAAAGTTTAATATTTTTATTGTAAAAACAATATTAGCAACTGAATTTTTGAAATTTACAGATATGGCTCAAAATGTCCAGTCTTCAATATAATGAAACCAATCTTTCTCATATTGTTTATAATTCAACGTGTGTCTAGAGAGAAAAAATATAGTTAGCAATATAATTTTTTGACTCTTTCTACCTCTGATATCAGTATTGTTTATATTTAAAAGCATGAAGCAACGTTTTACTTATAAAATTGTCATGTGAGGCCAGGTTGGTTGCTCACGCCTATACTCCCAACACTTTGGGAGGCCAAGGCAAGAAGAATGCTTGAGGTCAAGAGCTAGAGAGTAGTGTGGGCAATATAGCAAAAGCCCATCTCTATAAAAAAAATTTGTGTAATTAGTTAGGTGTGGTAGTGCTTGCCTGTAATCCAGCTACTCAGGAGGCTGAGGAGGGATGATTGCTTAAGGCCAGGAGTTCGAGATTACAGTGAGCTTTATTGTGCATTCCAGCCTGGGCAACAGAGTAAGACTCTTTCTTTAAAAAATTAAAATATTAAAAAATTGTCATATGATTAAATATGAGTACTATTACTGAGAAATTATAACTGTTTTATATAAAATAAAAATATCATTGTTATGTGGTATTCCTTTTTGACACTGCAAAGCAAAGAAACAAAGTTAACAAAATACTTACTACTCTCCCATAGGATTCTTTTCTCTCTTAAAGCTTCCAAAAGCAGTAATTTTTCAGTTTATTCCATATCAGCCAAAATAAGTTAATGTGCTGGAGGGTTGGTGGGCCACAGGCCCTCTGTGTCAGTGATATAGCTAAGTGACATGAGGTAGTCAGGGACTGAGTCAGGATGTAAATCTCACTGGTGGACTTCACACTGTAAGTCTCATGTCCTGATCAGCAAGAAGCCAAGGTGATTCACTTACAGTGTGATTTGAGATGTACAAATCTTTAATATCATCTTGACTCTTTGATGACTAACTGGATGGATCTTGGGGACCCTCATTCCCTTTCCTCTAAAACTGAGTTATTTCCTAAAGTTTTCCTGGGTCCTGCATGGTGAGAGTCCTAAATGTCCAATCCCACATGTTCATCCAATGAAATAGTCAATGATATTTTGTATTTACCGAAGTACAAAATGTCTTATGATAGATATTCTCTCTTGACATTTCAGCAACCGAATACAGGGCCTATATTTTTACATAATAGCATTTTGAGGCAATGTGATCAGGAATAACTTGGTTGGTGAAATTTATAATGATAAATCATAATTTTACTATGCTGATACTATTAACTTTTAGCTATGTTTATGTAACGGTTTGATTCATATAATTTGAATTTTCATAAAAATATATTTATTTTATAGCAACAGATCAACTTAAGAAGTGCAACTCATCAAATTTAATTGTAATTGAGGGAAATTTAACGAACAAGAAGGAATTCAATCATAATTCTAACATAAGGTACAGATGTAGAGGAAAAAAAGAACACATACACACAGTCTGCATAAATGGAAAGTGGGATCCAGAAGTGACCTGCTCAAGTAAGCTCTTATTTTGTTTTCAGAAATGTATTCTATTTCTCATTTGGAAGAATAATACATACATTTTTGTCTTTTAAAACTTTAGCTATTTATTATTACAAATGCTCCTGAACCACGAAGGTAATTTAGAAACTAACGGAAACACTGTTTCTTAATACTCACTGTGCCATGTCAATTACTTACCTTTACTATTAAAAGGGGGAAAAAAAAACACATAAACTCATTGGTTTTTTAAATTAACATTCAGGCATTCCATGTCATCATTACTGTTGGAGGATCAGTACTTCCCATTCCTTTTCTTGTCAACAAATGTTCCGGTGCCTATACCTCTGTCTATTCCAATAACCACTATGTATCTGTTTGTGTGTATATGTGTATGTATCTGTATCTATTTCTATCTATTCATTTATTTAATCAATCTGTCTATTCATCTACGTAACCATCTATTCATCTATCTGTCCATCTATCTAGTCATCTGTTTATCTATTAATTTATTGTTTATCTATTTTGAAAAGTTAGTCATATTGACACCTACAGTTTCACTTAAATAGTGTAGGGTTTATTCCAGTCTTCCCACATTCGATACATGTATTTTGCTCTCCAGTTGCGTTCGTTGCCTCACTAGCCTCAATATTTTTACCAATGTCTCTCAGTCTAGGATATACAGAAAGCATTGACAACCGATACAAAAACTAATCTACTGTCAACATTTCAATATGTTTAAGGCCCTTAAAGAAACAAATAATGTATACATGCAGTGAAGTGTACATGTTCTACAGTTTTTTCTTGAAGTTTTATATTTTATGTTTTCTTGAAGTTTTAAAAATATTTATATCTATATTTTACCTAACTTCTACTTAGGTTTATTGAAATGATCGTATGGTTATTGTCCTTTCTGTTAATGTGATGCAGCACATTTACTAATTTGCCTGTGTTAAACCACCTTTACATTCCTTGGATTAAACCCATTTGTTCATAGCAAATGCTCTTTTTAATGTGCTGTGGGATTTGTTTCGCTAATATAATGTTGAAGTTTTCTTGTACCTGTGTTCATCAGGGGGGTTTGCCTGTGGTTTTCTTTTGAGTTGTGTCCTTGCCTGGTTTTGGTTTCAGAGTAATGCTGGGCCACTACAATGAGTTAGAAAAATGATCTCCTCTTCCAAGTTTGGAGTCGCTTTAGAAAATAGTTACTAGCTCTTTTTAAAATGTTTGGTAGAATTCAGCAATGAAACCATCAGGTCTTGGATTTTCTTTGATGGGAGACATTTTATTACTGATGTAATCTCTCTTTAGGATTAGTCTGTTAAGATTTTTCCATTTCCTCTGAGTTAATCTTAGTTGGCTGTGTGTGTCTTGGAATTTATCCATTTCTTCTAAGTTATTCAATTTGTTGGTATATAATTGCTAGTAATGGTCTCTCATTATTATTTATATTTTTGTGGTATCAGGTGTAATGTCTCCTTTTTCATCTCTGATGGTGTTTCTTTAAACCGTATCTCTCTGTTTTCAGTTATTCTTGTTGAAGCTTTGTCAATTTTGATTATCTTATAAAAACAATTCTTTCATTGATATTTTGTACTGCTTTTGGAGCTCATTTTTCTTACTTTTGCTTTATGATTTCTATCCTTCTACTAATTTTGAGATCGATTAATTTGTTCATGTTTTTCTGCTTCTTTGAGGTATACTACTAGATTGTTTATTTGAGTTTTTTCCACTTTCTTGATATAGGCATTTATTCCTATAAATGTCCATCTTAGAAGTACTTTTGCTGCATCCCATAAGTTTTGCCATGTTTCGTTTCCATCTTCCCTTTTCTCAAGATATTTTTAAATTTCTTTAAATTTTTGGACCACATTATTGCTTCAGAGTGTATTGTTTAATTTTCACCTAATTTTTACTTTTCCCTAATTCCTCCTTTTTCGATTTCTCCTTTCATACCATTGTTGTCAGAAAAGATACTTGATATGATTTCAGTCTTCTTGAATTTGATAAGACTTGTTTTATGGTCTAACATATGACATGTTCTGGAGAATGTTCTGTGTGCATTTGAGAAGAAAATATTATATGTTGTTTTTAAGTAGTATGTTCTTTATATGTCTGTACAATCTATTTGGTATAAATTATTGTTCAAGTTTAATGTTTCCTTATTGATATTCTGTCTGGATGCTCTCTCTAAATGTTGAAAGTAAAACATTGATATCCCCTACTATTACTGTCTTGCAGTCCACATCTCCATTCAGATTCCTAAATGTTTCCTTTATATATTTAGTTGCTCTGACGTTGAGTGTATACATATGTTTGCAATAGTTGTATTATCTTGACAAATTGACCCTGATATCATTATATAGTAACCTCCTTTGTCCCTTTGTACAGTTTTTCCCTTAAGTCTATTTTGTCTGAAATAAATATAACTACCCCTTCCCTTTTTTAGTTTTTATTTTTACAATTTTTTTCCATTCTTTCACTGCAATCTATGAATGTACCTTACAGTGAAGTAAGTCAATTGTAAGCAATTTATAATTGAGTATTAATCTTTAATTTATTCATTCTAGGCTTTTTGATTGTAGAATAGATTCCATTTCCATATAAAGTAATTTTGATAGGTAAGGATTTATAGTGGCAATTTGTTAATTGTATTCTGGTTGGTTTTTAAACCATTTGTTTCTTTCTCTCTTGCTTGCTTTATATATACTTTGGTGTCTTTCTGTAGTCATATGCTTAGGATTTCTTCTTTAATCTTTTGTATATCTATTAGAGGCTTTGCTTTATTATCCTTAGGCTTGGATAACATAACTTACAAAAGTCTATTTTAAGTTGATAGAAACTGAATTTTGATTACATATCAAATCTCTAAATTTTACTCTGCCCCTCTCATGTTTTCTGTCTTTGATGATACACTTTACATCTTTCTATAATTCATATCTCTTAACAAAGTTTGTAGCTTCAGTTGTTCTTAGTAGCTTTGCCTTTTAAACTTTATTAGCCTAGCTATATTTACCCATCACCATTGAAGTATTAGAGTGTTTGGATTTCATATTGTACTTACTTTTACTGGTAAGTTTCATACTTTAAGACCTTCTTGTTACTAATTAGCATCCTCTCCTTTCACCTTCAAGAACTTCCTTTAGCATTTCTTGTAAGGCAGAAAAGTGTCCTTATGCTTTCTCAGCCTTTTTTAATCTCAGAAAGCCTTTATCACTCCTTTGTTTTTAAGACAGAATAGTGGAATCTAGAATTATCGGTTGGCAGCTATTTTCTTTCAGAACTTTGAGTATATCAATCCACTTCCTTATGTCCTGCAACAATCTTGTGGAAATTCCATTTTATATAACCATTCACTTTTTATTTGCCTTTTCTGCACTGCTCCAATTTGGCGTTGCGCCTGCAGTTTTTACATACCATTTTAAGACCACCTATTTGCTTTATGATCTAGGGAGACTGGTATATTTCCAGTATCCTCTGCTGTGAGAATTAAGAGTTTTTGGATAGAGTCCTTTTGGAGGTAAGTAAAAGTTGCAGCACTTGATGGAGACATAAACCTTTTTGGGGATAACCATGGAACTGCATTTTAAACACACTTTCTCTCCACTGCTCTTGGGCAATGAAGCTCCTGAAAGTGCTTACACACCCATATAAAACTGCCATTTTTGTGTGTGTGGTCTAGATAGACTCCGGATATATTTTGTGCCCTCTACTCCCAGAACCAAGAGTTTTACGATGTAGTCCCTGAATGAAAGTTATAAAAGTTAGGACACTCAAATTTGTGTGGACAAACTAGTTGAAAGAGTGATCAGTGTCCCTGGATTTGTCACTGGGGTGAGCCACTAGAACCGGCTAGAGAAGTGCCCGATGCGAGTTCGTTAGAATCCAGACTGCAAGTTTTTTAGAATTTAGACCTCCAAGTAGCCACAGGAAGAATATTCATAAAACTCTTTCTTCGGAGGAACAGGGGTCTGTGTTTTTTCAGCCCATTCTCTGAACTGCTATTAGGGAATGAAGTTTCTGGAAGCTCTTCAGCACCTGTATCAAACCACATTTTCTCCTGTGATCTAGAGAGACTCTCATGTGTCTAATCTCCTCTGCTTCCAAAATTAGTGAATTAAGAGCCAAAGCACAGGAAATCTTAAACTTTGGATATTTTATGTGAGATCCAAAGACTCCTCTCCACAACGAGAAATTGGGTTTTTGAGATTCCTTTTCTAATTGGATGGTGCAGTGCACAAGACTGGGGTCCATGCTCCAGTGTGTGGCAACTTTTCTTACTTGTTCAATGTGAATGTTTTCTTCGTTGCCTGGTGAGTAGGAGTCCCTTTGTTGGTCTCCGACTTTCTTTCAGAAGGAGTTCATTCATGAATAGATGTTTGTTTAGGACATTCTTGGGTGGAAGAAGAGTCAGGAGCTTCCACTCCTGCCATGTTGCTGACATCGCCCCATGCCTAGCTCTTTATTTTACTCCCAGGAAACTAGAATATTACAGGTATCGTTAAGTGCTCCTACACAAGCAAGAGAGAAACCAGTACTTCAAGATGCTCCCCAAAACACTAGCATGATAAACACATAGTTCACGCTTACTTTTCCTCTCTGAGGGAGAAGCAGCCAAAATATATTGGTTTCTGTTTACTTTAGGGGGTTGCAAGAGGCTTTGCACTGGTTTCTAGATTTCTCACAAAGGGAATTGTTTCCAACATCATCATTGAATCAGTGTGCTTGCCAGGGCAACAGCGAGTTGTGGCTTCCTATACTGCCATCTTGCTGATGTCACTGCCCTCTTTCACCCTCAATATTAATCATGTTTTAAAAATCTTGATCATTGTTTTACTTTTTTCCCAATTTTATTAATATTTTCAAAAACCAATTATAATACCTTTAAATTTTCTCCATTTGCTCTCTATTTTTTTAGATTTCTTATATTTTACTAATTTTAGCTTTGCAGCTTTCTCCCTTTTCTATTTTTCTTTGTCTGTTTTCTCTTCTTCACTGACTTTATTGTTTTCTTCCTTCTGATGACTTCCATTTTAATTTCACTTCTCTCAGTCTTAAGGTGGAAAACGAAAACATGGTCATAAACTATGACAATTTGAAAACATAAAACTTTAAAGCACCAACATTTTGAGCACTGCTTTAGCTGTGTCCCAAAATGTTACGTGTGTGTGTGTGTGTGTGTGTGTGTGTGTGTGTGTGTTTATGCTCTGTGTGTGGGGAGACAGAGAAAGATTTATTTTTATTTTATTTGAAATATTTTCTCACTTGCCTTGTGGTTTGTTTGTTGATGATCTTTTATATAGATGTCTATTGCTTAATTTCCAAATATTTGATTTTTTCTAGGTAACTTATTTTTGCAGGTTTGTAATTTAATTCTGTTCTCAAAGAATACTGGGAAATTTGCAATGTTTTGAAACACTCAGTGTTTTAATTGCATAGCATGTAATCTACCTTGCTGATGGTATTATTTACAAATAAAAATGTGCATACACACTAAATGTAGAATTAGGCTATACTGGATCAGAATGTTCTTTAAATATATTTGGCTGTGTCACAAATTTGTTAAATAAACAATCTCTTTCTCACTTACTTACTATCAGAAAATACTTTTAAGATGAGTAATAATGATTGCAGTACATATTGAAATCAATGGGATACAGCTTTAACAGAGATGTATTTGACATCACAACGTGCATTAGAAGAAAAAAAAATAAAAGTAACAAGTACTACAATCAAGGAGGTAGACAGGAACGTACACCTAACAAAAACAGAAGGAAATTATCATTCAAGCATAAATAGTTGCTCATTTGTCTTAAGAAAAATAAATTGACAAGAAGGCTAAAAACATGTTAAAATATTGAAAAATAGAAATAAGTCAAAATACTTTTGATAAAATATGAAATACTTTAATTATCGTAGGCAAAAAAAAGAGAACTTGAAGTTATCAATAAATAACCTTTAATAAAGTTTTATTCACCCAAACGTCTCCCTGAATTGATAACAAAATGTCAGACACTTGAAATCATTGCCATGGTTTCCTAGAGTATGCTTGCATAAAGCGTTAGGTGAGGTAGAGCATACACTGTGATAGGAGGACGCAAATCAAGGGATTATAGAGGGCTGAATGCTCCTAGATGCTTCTAAACTCCCCCATCAGTGTCAAACAGGACATGCATCATTTTCATAGGATGAAAAAATAAGATATTTCTGATGTATCGCAATTTAACAAGAGCTCAGCTGTGAGTTTACAAAGGTGTCTTTATATGTGATTATATAACTTTATATGTGATTATATATATTAGTATATATATAAAGTATATATAACAGGCTGTGCAATGCATTAAACTGGGTGCATACCATCCATTTAAATATGCCTAAACAGTATAGGTTAGCTAGTAAATAAAAGCTCTAGGGGAGTTTCAAGCTTTAAATAGCACACGATAAATTACTAGTGAATATATTTAATGCTTATATTGGTCAAGTGTCAGTACCAAATTGATTATTAACTAAATGTAATTCTACTTCTGGCTAGTTAGATTCTATTGACAGAAAATTTTGTTAGGGTTTTAATCCAGTTCTAATGCATTTGATCATAGATATCAATTTTTATTATTGCATGTAATTAAGAGTGTGTAATACCGTTAAACATTCTAAAGGTTCAAAATAATTAAAATCAATAATACCTAAATTACGCAAAATTTATTATACAAAGAATATATGAAAAAACTACAAGAAAATCTGAGAATACAAGCCAAAAATTTTATTGTTTAATGTAACTGTTACACAGTTGAAAGGTATAGCATATGTATACATAGAACATCACAATTAAGATGTGATAATTTATGAAACATAGTTATTGAATACTCTATTTATTCTATTTTCATCATAGAAATTATGATTTTTAATCAAAAAGCCTAATTTTAATATTTAAATATTTAAATTTTTATTTTAATATTAATCATATTTTTAATATTTTCAATAATTTTTAGTGGCACAAATACAGTTATGCCCACCTCCACCTCAGATTCCTAATTCTTGGACTATGAAAACCACATTGAATTATCGAGATGGAGAAAAAGTGTCTGTTCTTTGCCAAGAAAATTATCTGATTCAGGAAGGAGAAGAAATGACGTGCAAAGATGGAAGATGGCAGTCACTACCACGCTGTGTTGGTCAGTAATGTATAACTTGTTTTACTTAATTCTTTCAAATGAGGTTAATACTCTCTTGTGCTTTGTGTAACCAAGAGAGAAGTTCTTTCTCTGTGTCTACTCCTTTACCCTGACACAATAAATTAGGATGTAGGCTCATTAATCAATAACCACTCTTTCAGTTTTCTGGATGAAATATAGCCCAAATCTTTGGAATATTATGTCAATGTCATATAACTTTTCAATTCATCATATTTTAATTATCATGATGAATAGGACATGACTGAAGAGGATTATTGAACAAGAGGATGGTAACATAGATATGGTAGAGAAATATATCTTTGTAAGTTTCTAATATGTTTTGGTTTTTAAATAATTTTATTTGTTCAAAGTATACTCACTTTAAAATCCAAAATAGTATTTAGTTTTATATTTCAATCTAAATATTTTGTTTGTTCTTGACCCTTTGCTTTTTGTACTTCATTTAGAAAAGATTCCATGTACACAGCCACCTCACGTAGAACATGGAAGCATTATTTCATCCAGGTCTTCACAAGAAAATTATGCACATGGGACTAAATTGAGTTATACTTGTGAAGATGGTTTCAGGCTATCTGAAGAAAATGAAATAACATGCTACATGGGAAAATGGAGTTCTCCACCCCATTGTGAAGGTTAGGACAATACGAATACTCAATTTCTGTTTATGGTAGAATTCACTAAAAACAATCTCTTCTTATCAAAGTGAGGGGACAGAATAATTCAGATTGCTGCATATATAAAATTATTTATATATTATACCATTAAAATACTTTTTGCATGATTGAATCTATTTTACTCCTGTTAATTTTATTTTGTTCATGATAGAATCATTTTTTATTCTGGCATTTAAAAAATAATATCTAGTGAAATTAAACATATCCATATTAGTTCGTTCTCATGATGATATAAAGAACTGCCTGATACTGGGTAATTTATAAAGGAAAAAGGTATAATTGGCTCACAGTTCTACATGGCTTGGGAGGTCTTAGAAAACTTACAATCCTTGTGAAAGGAGAAGCAAACACATGATGACAGGAAGGATAATTGCTGAGCAAAGAAGGAAAAGCCCCTTATAAAACCATTTGATCTCATGAGAACTCACTCACCGTCACAAGAACAGAAGCATGGGGATAACTGCCCCCATTATTCAATGACCGCCCACTGTGTCCCTCTCATGAAACATGGGGATTATGGGAACTGCAATTCAACAAGAGACTTAATTGAGGACACAGACAAACCATATCATTCTACCATGGCCCATCCCAATTCTCATATCCTCACATTTCAAAACATAATCATGCCTTCCCAACAGTCCCTAAAATCTTAACTTATTCCAGCATTAACTCAAAAGTTCATGTCCAAAGTCTCATCTGAGACAAGGCAAATCCTCTCTGCTTATGAGTCTGTAAAATCAAAAGCAAGTTGGTCATTTCCTAGATACAATGGGGATACAGGCATTGGGTAAATGCTCCCATTCCAAAAGGGAGGAAGTGACCCAAACAAAGTGGCTACATGCTTGATGGAAGTCCAAAATTTAATAGGGCAGTCATTAAAACTTAAAGTTCCAAAGTTATCTCCTTTGATTCCATGTCTCACATTCAGGTCATGCTAATTGATGCAAGGGGTGGGCTCCAACAGCCTTGGGCAGAATCTGTCCCTGTGGCTTTGTCCCCTTTCTGGCTACTTTCTTGGGCTAGCATTGAATGCCTGTGGCGTTTCCAACAGCATGGTGCAAGCTATCAATAGATCTACCATGCTGGGGTTTTAAGTACTGTGGCCCTGTTCTCACAGATCCACAAGGCAGTGCCCCAGTGGAGACTCTGTGTGAGGACTCTGACCCCACATTTCCCTCACTCAATGTCCTAGCAGAGGTTCTCCATGTGGGCTCCACCCTGCAGCAAACTTCCGCCTGGACATCCAGGCATTTCCATCTATCTTCTGCAATCTAGGCGGAGGTTCCCAAACCTCAATTCTTAACTTCTATGCACCCACAGGCCCAAGACCACGTGTAACTCCCAGCAAGGCTTGGTGTTTTCACACTCTGAGGCAACAGACCAAGCTGTATATTGGCCCCTTTAAGCCACAAATGGAGCTGAAGCAACTGGGATACAGGATATCATGTCCTGAGACTGCATAGAGCAGTGGGAGCCTGGGCCTATTCTATGAAAGCATTTATTCCTACTGGGCTTCTGGGCCTGTGATGGGAGAGGTATCATGAAGACCTCTGACATGCCCTGGAAACATTTTCACCATTGTCTTGGTGATTAACTTTTAGCTCATTATTTTTGCAAATTTCTGCAGTGGGCTTGAATTTCTCCCCAGAAAATGAGGTTTTCTTTTCTATTGCATTATCAGTCTGCAAATTTTCCAAACTTTTATGCTTTGATTCCTCTTGAGCTCTTTCCACTTAGAAATTTATTGTGCCAGATACCCTAAATCATCTCTCTCAAGTTAAAAGTTCTGCAGATCTGTAGGGCAGGACCACTATGCCACAAGTCTCTTTCCATAGCAGAAGTGACCTTTACTCTAGTTTCCAACAAGTTCCTCATCTTCATCTGAGACCACCTCATCATGGACTTCATTGTCCATATCACTAAGCATTTTGGTCAAAACCATTCAACAAGTCTGTAGGAACTGCCAAACTTTCCCATATCTTCTTGTCTTCTGAGCCCTCCAAATCCCTAGCAAGTTCCAAACTTTTTCACTTCTTCCTGTCTTCTTCTGACCCATACAAATTGTTCTAACCTATGCCTTTTACCCAGTCCCAAAGAAGCTTCCACATTTCTGGTTATCTTTACAGCAGCACCCGAATCTCTGTGGTACCAATTTACTGTATTAGTTTGTTCTCATACTGCTATAAAGAACTGCCCAAGACTGCATAATTTATAAAGGAAAGAGGTTTAATTGACTCACAGTTCCATAATGCTGGAGAGGCCTCGGGAAAGTTACAACTATGACGGAATGGTGAGCAAACATGTCCTTCTTCATATCATGGCAGGAAGGAAAAATGCAAAACAAAGTGCAGAGAAAAGCAAAGACAGAAAAGCCCCTTATAAAACCATCAGATTTCATGAGAACTCACTCACAATCATGAGAACAGCAGCAGAGGGATTAATCACCCCAGTGATTCACTTTACTCCCATCAGGTCCCTCCCACAGCACATGAGGATTATAGTAACTGCAATTCAAGATGAAATTTGGGTGTGGACATAGCCAAACCTGTTCTGCAAGTTGTCATGTTTGCTTTGTCATTATGTTTTAAAACTTCTTTTACATTCTTCCTACAATGCTCCTTCTGATTTCCTACAATATACTATGTTTCATCTGGAATTGTTAACCACAAATGTGTATCTTATTATCACGAGTAAGTTTACAGAGGCATTCCCTACTGATGCATTCATGATCCTTTTCTTAAATGTATTGCTATTTTTAGTTTCAAATCCTTCCTCAGTTGGTGACAGTCGGATAGATAGACAGACACCAGAAGGCTGGTTTTAGGAAATATTTGTGTACTTCTCTGCAACATCATGGTAGCTCCGGTGTTGTTTCTTATCAAATGTAACCACTCAATATAAAAACAGGCACATAAAATTAAATTTCTGAGTTAGTGAAACCTGAATTCATTCTTTTTTTTTTTTAGGCCTTCCTTGTAAATCTCCACCTGAGATTTCTCATGGTGTTGTAGCTCACACGTCAGACAGTTATCAGTATGGAGAAGAAGTTACGTACAAATGTTCTGCCTGCAATTGCAAAATGCTTAGGAGAAAAATGGTCTCGCCCTCCATCATGCATAAGTATGGTGTATTGAATTTTATTATATATACGATAAATATTCTTCATTCAAAGTGTAAGTCGTACCAATAAGAAGAAAACAGTGACTCTAGAATTTCATAAGGTTTTCTTGAGTATTCTGGATTGTTGTGGAAAATTATAACTCTAGTAATTAAAATATTCGACTTTATAAGCCAAATTGGTTCATTTTTACATCATCATGTGTGAACTTTAAGCATCCTCTGATGTATAGTCTCAGACTTCTCATCTCTGTTCTTAGGGCACAACTGCCTCTACTCATCAATCTCATCATTATTCAATTTTCTGTCAGTTTATCAACAATCTCCCTATAAGTATATTTTCTAAAATATTTACAAAATTATTATAAATATTTCACATTTGACAGGAGCAAAACATTTGGAAATAATACATGCAATACACAAATAATTGGTGTATTATTCTGTTCTCACACTGCTGTAAAGAATTTCCTGAGACTGGGTAATTTATAAGAGAAAAAATTTTAATTGGTCACAGTTTTGCATGGCTGAGGAGGTGTCATGAAACTTACAATTACCACTGAAGGAGAAGCAGGCACCTTCTTCACAAGGTGGCAGGAGAGAGAGGAGTGAGCGAAGGAGGAACTTCCAAACACTTATTAAACCATCAGATCCTGTGAGAACTCACTCACTGTTATGAGAACAGCATGTGGGAAACTGCCACCATGAGATCATAGATTGTGATATAAATGTGGGCATCTTCAGTATATGGATTTTATTTCAAGGCGTGTGACTGACTATATTTATAAAAAGAAGTCTGAGCACATACTCCTGGGTCATTCTAATATGTAGACATGAAGCAAGGAAAACCAGCAAACGAGATTGTATCTTACCCACTTTTATTTTTTTAAATTAATATTTTTCTCTTTTTTTCCCACTATTTTACTTAGACTCTACTTATATTTTATATTAAAGTGAGTTTTTGTAGACAGTATGTAGCTGGATATTGTTTACATATCCATTCATCCTTTCATGGCATGTTAATTGATGCCCTTGGACCATTTACACTTAAAATAATTATTGACATATAAGACTTAAGCCTCTGGCATTTATTTGTTTCTGCCTGTTTCCTCTCAGTTTCGGTCCTATTTACCTATTCCTATGTTCCGTATGAGGAAAATTATTAAGGAGATTAATTTTGATTCATATGTATTGTGTATTGTTTTCTATTGTATCTCTTTGTATAGCTTTTCTCCTCTTTTTAAAAAGTTGTTGCTCTAGCTAATACTATATACATATAATAAAATATTACTGTCTACTGGTACTGACATTAAAATCTTCAACTGGAATATAAAAACCGTATTTTCATGTAGATCCATTTATACTCTCCACATTTTATGTATAAATGCCATTGATATTTTCTGTACATACATTGAGCACCATATTAAACTCATTTGCTTCAAACATCAAACATAATGGAAAAAACTTATGAAGAAAAAGATATCCTGTTATATTGACTCCTCTTTTTATTCATTATATTATTCTATTTTTTTCAGTATCCTAAAGTCTCAAGCTCTTTCTTTTATCATTATATTTTAATTTGAAGAATTCCTTTAGTTAATCTTTAGGCATAGGTCTACTGGAGACAAATTCTCCTGGTTTCCTTGTCTCTAAGAATGTCTATATTTACCCCTTTACTTGTAAAGGATAGCGTCACTGGATATAAAATTTGGAGTTGACAGTCCTTTAAACTCTTGAAAACTGTGCCACATGGTTATAGATGAAAAGCTCACCATCACTGGAATTGTTGATCCCCTCGAGGAAAGGCGTAGATTTGCCTAGTTGCTTTCAAGATATTTTTTTCTTTTTTTAAGTAGTTTTTTTTTTTTTTTTTAGATTTGCCTAGTTGCTTTCAAGATATTTTTTTCTTTTTTTAAGTAGTTTTTTTTTTTTTTTAAATATATACTGGTATAAATTCCAATATGTTTATCCTCATTGGAGTTCACTCAACTTCTTAAATACAAGTTTATACCTTATGGCCAAAATAGGAAGTTTTCAAGCATCACTTTATTTATGCATTTTTTCCAGCCCAATATTCTTTCTCTTCTTTTTCTGCATCTGCATTATTTGTTGTTGTATTTTTCTGAATGTCTCAGCTCAGTTTTTTGTTTTCAATCTATTTTCAGAGCAGGAAATCTATATTGCCCTTTGTTCAGTTCACGGATTTATTTGTCTGTCAGATGCAAATGTATTATTAAGTATATTCATTATTCATTTTTTTAAAGAATTTTATCATGCTTTTTCATTTATAATTCCTAAGGGAATTTTAAAAACCATTATCAATTTAAAAACCTCTGTCTTTTAGTGTTACTCCAAAGAATGTTGAATACAAAATAAGAAACTTCCTCTGTCATAGTTTTCTGTTTAGCATATGTTCATTCAGAAAGACATTTCTTAATCCTGGTCTACTGTAAGCAGCAATATTTGGTAATATTGTATGTGTTCTTTCTGTAAGGAGAAAAGAACTTAAATATATTACTTTCAGTTTAAAGGGTTAAAATTTCTTCCAGGATTCATTTCTTTCACCAGAAATCATAAAACTGTTGATATTATATAAAGTGTTGTGTTTATATTTACCTTATTTGAACTCATAGTTTGATTTTCTCTCACAATAAATCAAATGATGAAATGATGTTTTTTAGATTCTACAGGAAAATGTGGGCCCCCTCCACCTATTGACAATGGAGACACTACTTCATTCCCATTGTCAGTATATGCTCCAGATTCATCAGTTGAGTACCAATGCCAGAAGTTGTATCAACTTGAGGGTAACAAGCGAATAACATGTAGAAACGGACAATGGTCAGATCCACCAAAATGTTTACGTAAGTACTTTAATATTCACAGGGACCCAGGAAAAATCGGTGTGATGAGTCTGATATTTCACTGTCTGTAACAAATTAATCACCGATTATTGAACAAGCATTCTGCTGAATGCTTGTCTAGCAATTATTTATGTTAGAAAGTAAAGTTTAGAATTTTTTCTCTTTAGGGCTGGGGGCAGTGGTTCACATCCGTAATCCCAGCAGTTTGGGAGGCCGAGGTGGGCATATCACGATGTCAGGTGATCGAGAACATCCTGTCTGACATGGGGAAGCCCTGTCTCTACTAAAAATACAAAATAATATAATAGTAACTGTGTATGGTGACAGGCACCTGTAGTCCCAGCTAGTCAGGAGTCTGAGACAGGAAAATGGTATGAACACAGGAGGCAGAGCTTTCAGTGAACAAAGATCGTGCCACTGTACTCCAGGCTGGGAGACAGAACGAGACTCCATCTCATTAAAAACAAAAATAAAGAGAAGTTTAGAGAAAAAAGAGTAAAAAGAAATGAACAAAACCTCCAAAAATAATTGACTATGTGAAAAGACCAAATCTACATCTGTTTGGTGTAACTGAAAGTGATGGGGAGAATGGAACCAAGTTGGAAAACACCCTGCAGGATGTTATCCGGAAGAACTTCCCCAACCAAGCAGGGCAGACCAATATTCAAATTTAGGAAATATGGAGAATGCCACAAAGATAATCCTCGAGAAGAGCAACTCCAACACATATAATTGTCAGATTCACCAAAGTCAAAATGAAGGAAAACATGTTTATGGCAGCCAGAGAGAAAGGTTGGGTTACCCACAAAGGGAAACCCGTCAGACTAACAGCAGATCTCTCAGCAGAAACTCTACAAGCCAGAAGAGAGTGGAGGCCAATATTCAACATTCTTAAGAAAAGAATTTTAAACCCAGAATTTCATATTCACCCAAACTAAGTTTCATAAGTGAAGGAGAAATAAAATCATTGACAGACAAGCAAATGCTTAGAGATGTTGTCACCACCAGGCCTGCCCTACAAGAGCTCCTGAAGGAAGCACTAAACATGGAAAGGAAAAACTGGTACCAGTCACTGCAAAAACATGCCAAAATATAAAGACCATCAATGCTAGGAAGAAACTCCATTAACTAACGAGCAAAAGAACCAGCTAACATCATAACGAAAGGATCAAATTCACACATAACCATATTAACCTTAAATGTAAATGGGCTAAATGCTCCAATTAATGACACAGACTGGCAAATTGGATAAAGAGTCAAGACACATCAGTTTGAACAGTTTGCTGTATTCAGGAGACCCATCTCACATGCAGAGATACACATAGGCTCAAAATAAAGGGAGGGAGGAAGATCTACCAAGCAAATAGAAGAAAAAGGCAGGGGTTGCAATCCTAGTCTCTGATAAAGCAGACTTTAAACCATCAAAGATCAAAAGAGACAAAGAAGGCCATTACACAATTGTAAAGGAATCAATTAAATAAGAAGAGCTAACTATCCTAAATATATATGCACCCAATACATGAGCACCCAGATTCATAAAGCAAGTCCTTAGAGACTTACAAAGAGACTTAGACTTACACACAATAATAATGGGAGACTTTAACATCCCACTGTCAACATTAGACAGATCAACGACACAGAAAGTTAACAAGGATATCCAGGAATTGAACTGAGCTCTGCAACAAGCGGACCTAATAGACATCTATAGAACTCTCCACCCCAAAACAAAACAATATACATTCTTCTCAGCACCACATCACACTTATTCCAAAACTGACCACATAGTTGGAAGTAAAGCACTCGTCACCAAATGCAAATGAACAGAATTTATAACAAACTGTCTCTCAGACCACAGTACAATCAAACTAGAACTCAGGATTAAGAAACTCAATCAAAACTGCTCAACTACATGGAAACTGAACAACCTGCTACTGAATGACTACAGGGTACATAACGAAATGAAGGCAGAAATAAAGATGTTCTTTGAAACCAATGAGAACAAAGATAAAACATACCAGAATCTCTGGGACACATTTAAAGCAGTGTGTAGAGGGAAATTTAAAGCCCTAAATGCCCACAGAGGAAAGCAGGAAAGATATAAAATCAAGACCGTAACATTACAATTAAAAGAACTAGAGAAGCAAGAGCAAACACATTCAAAAGCTAGCAGAAGGCAAGAAATAATTAAGATCAGAGCAGAACTGAAGGAGATAAAGACACAAAAAACCCTTCAAAAACTCAATGAATCCAGGAGTTGGTTTTTTTAGAAAGATCAACAAAACTGATAGACCGCTATCAAGACTAATAAAGAATAAAAGAGTGAAGAATAAATAGATGCAATAAAAAATGATAAAGGTGATATCACCACCGACCCCACAGAAATACAAACTATCATCTGAGAATACTCTAAACACCTCTATGCAAATAATCTAGAAAACCTAGTAGAAATGGATAAATTCCTGGACACATACACCCTTCCAAGACTAAACCAGGAAGTAGTTGAATCCCTGAATGGATCAATAACAGGCTCTGAAATTGAGGCAATAATTAATAGCCTACCAACCAAAAAAAGTCCAGGACCAGAGGGATTCACAGCCGAATTCTACCAGAAGTACAAGGAGGAACTGGTACCATTCCTTCTGAAACCATTCTAATCAATAGAAAAACAGGGAGTCCTCGCCAATTCATTTTATGAGGCTAACATCATCCTGATACCAAAGCCTGGCAGAAACACAACAAAAAAAGAGAATTTTAGACCAATATCCCTGATGAACATCAATGCAGAAATCCTCAGTTAAATACTGGCAAACCGAATCCAGCAGCTCATCAAAAAGCTTATTCACCATGATCAAGTGGGCCTCACCTTTGGGATGCAAGGTTTGTTCAACATACTCAAATCAATGAATGCAATCCAGCATATAAATGGAACCAAAGAAAAAAACACATGATTATCTCAATAGATGCAGAAAATGCCTTTGACAAAATTCAACAGCCCATCATGCTAAAAACTCTCAATAAATTTGGTGTTGACGGAACGTATCTCAAAATAATAAGAGATACTTATGACAAACCCACAGCCAGTATCATATGGAATAGGCAAAAACTGGAAGCATTCCCTTTGAAAATGGGCATGAGACAGGGATGCCCTCTCTCACCACTCCTATTCAACATAGTGTTGGAAGTTCTGGCTAGGGCAATCAGGCAGGAGAAAGTTATAAGGGTATTTGATTAGGAAAAGAGGAAGTCAAATTGTCCCTGTTGGCAGATGACATGATTGTATATTTTGAAAACCCCATCGTCTCAGCCCAAAATCTCCTTAAGCTGATAAGCAACTTCAGCAAAGTCTCAGGATACAAAACGAAGGGGGAAAAATCACAAGCATTCTTATGCATCAATAACAGACAATCAGAGAGCCAAATCATGAGTGAACTCCCATTCACAGTTGCTTCAAATAGAATGAAATACCTAGGAATCCAACTTACAAGGGATGTGAAGGACCTCTTCAAGGAGTGCTACAAACCACTGCTCAATGGAATAAAAGAGGACACAAACAAATGGAAGAAGATCCCATGCTTGTGGTTAGGAAGAATCAACATGGTGAAATGGCCATACTGCCCAAGGTAATTTATAGATTCAATATCATCTCCATTAAGATACTAATGACTGGTCGGGTGCAGTGGCTCACACCTGTAATCCCAGCACTTTGGGAGGCCAAGGCGTGTGGATCTCCTGAGGTCAGGAGTTCAAGACCAGCCTGACCAACATGGAGAAACCCATCTCTACTAAAAATACAAAAATTAGCCAGGCATGGTGGTG